GTAGACAAATTTCATTATTATGTACTCATACATTAGATGCACCTAAATTTTCTTTGCTTGGGGATGTTAGATACTTTTATATCGGCCTTGATACTGAGGGATGTACTAAAGAAGGTGACATTAAAAGTTGATACACGCTGAGCGCTAAATAGCAATAAATTATTTTCTTCGAACCTAAACTTTTAAGGAAATCAGTTCTAATACCTCACAGTGTTTAACGAAGCAAATGGAGTATGTTTTTATAGCAATATAAAAAAAATTATTTCACAATAAATTTTACTTTAAATATTTTAAACTGATTATCGACAGTTTTTATCTAATAAATCCTCTCACCTCTGGAGTACAGGCTCATCGCATACTCCAGAAAAAGAAAATTTCTAATTTCTGTTTCACGTATAGCTTTTCCACTTACGAAACACAAATGAAACAGAGGAAATGAAAGTCGCAAGTGTCTTCGCTAACGGCAAACAAAGAAGTACACAAATAAATTTCAACTGCTGATTTTGACACTCGATATCTACTAAAAAAATCAATTATGTAAATTATGTCTGTGTTAATGCTGCAGGGAAGCATTTTAGATTAAAAATAGGATTGAATAGGTCTCTGCAAGAAAGCGTGATATGCTTTACGGAAAAAGATTTTGAATTTTGAACGTTTGTGTTTCTCTGAATTACTTATCTGAGGAAACTTCAGAATTTCTCTGCTGTAAGTAAGAGTGTACAAAGGAGGCAAACAAGGAATGTTGCTTTTTATGTGCATGAACCTGACTATCTTTACAAAGATATTATCTACAGTGGAAAATTAAAAACCAATCTGATTTTGATTTTCCTGTTAGAAAGCAATAAAAGTGAAAGAACTCTTTTTGATTTTGTATTTGATAATTTTTGGTTGATATACCCTACACAATGAGATCAAGGAAAATCATCAAACTGAATTATAACCGTGAAGGAAGGTAATTATTTCCTTGTTGGAAGGAACAAGAAAATATAAACAATTAACTGACTCCTCTCGGGTACATATCATGTTACCTATATTAAGACTCTCAGATATTTGTGTAGGACATTACTCTTAATTTTCGGCGATTCACAGCCTTTGTTTGAGACAACACGTTGCCTATTTGCGTGCAAAATTTCTAATCTTGTCAGTTGGTTTTTTACATGACTGAATAACGAATTCCCAAACAATGTTTGCGATTTACGTTTTAATAAAAATACAGCTATCTTTTTATTATTAATAATTATTTTAATATTTTAAATTATATTATAAGGTATTTTCTCCATCCTTTATGCATGCCTTCGTGGTGCAACGGTAGCACACTCGGCGCGTATGCAAGAGATCCAGGTTCGAGTCCCGGCGAGGGCATTGCTCATTTTTCATGTCTCCTACTTCAGAATAAGCTAATGTCTCTACAGTGGTGACTAAACTAAAAGGTGATAGATTAAAGGATGGATAAAGGTTAAGAATCATCATAATTTGCTTCTTAACCACCAACATTTAGCGAATGGGCACCCTAATCCCAGTCGCTCTTTAAAAGGGGGCCAAACATGCCTTCGTGGTGTAACGGTTAGCACACTCGGCGCGTATTCGAGAGGTCCAGATTTGAGTCACCGCGAAGGCTTTGCACATTTTTCAGCTTTCTGACATCGACAGTCCTAATGACTCTACAATATATATAATTAATAATTATTATAAATTATTTCTTATTATTTATTATTAATAAAAATACTTACCCTCATGTAAATGCGGATTAAGCATTGAAACAGGGGAAAAAAATCAAATGATTCTGCATGAGGTACGTATTATATGACATCAGAATTATTCATTAATTATGAACATTATTAATGAAATGATTCCTACAAAGAACTGTCGGTTTAGATAGCGTTGACTTCATTGTATAAAAATTAAAACTGAAGAAATCTATCGCTCATTAACCAAACCAGGCACGACCAACTGGTCGGTAACAATGCAATTTTTGGTCAATCTTAGGTGTCAGTAATATATTTCTATAAAGGATATTATTATATTAAATTATCTGTTACTTTACGCATTGTGTTAATGGCAACAATGTTTTCTTGCGTGTTTGTATGCTCATTTTTGTGTTATCGCATATTAATTACTTGCTATAAATTCTGATGTCCTGCCGTAAACAACCGAAGCTCTCTGCTTCATAAATTTTTCAGGTGATTAGTATAAGATCAGCACGATAGCGGGGAAAGTGCTGGCGATCGGAAGTCAGGTCGCATACTGCTCTGAAATGTTCTTACCTTCTCCAAAAGTTAGTGCAGAAAGGTCAAATAGGGCCAAAAGCAACGAAAACAGCTCTAGCGATGTCGAAGATCGTAGAAGAATATAAGAGCTGGCACTCCAGGGGGATAAAATCAATTCTGAAGAGCTTGGCTGGTATGGAAGGACAGGCAAAGATGTGTACTGGGAGAAAGTTGTATAACAGAACAGTAAGGGCAGCAATTTCCATTTCGCTGACCATCAAGGGATATTTTCATTCTTTTAAAATGTTTTGTTATCCCTCTGGCTATGGTAGATGAAATACTTTGAAATAATTCGGTAGCAGTTTAGCTCGGGAATAGATTTTTCTTAACTTGTTAGGAGAGGAGTCTTCGGCTGGCTAGTGCATCTGCAGTGGCAAGGGTTAAACTGTTGGAAAGTTGAGTATCATTTCGGACTTCTTTAACAAGGTAGTCGGCTTACTCATTGCCAGAAATATCGACATGCGCTGGAATTCACTGTAAGCTGAAGTCTTTTGGGACACCTATTATTGTGTTTACGAGCACAAGAATATCTTGGGTAAGTTGAGAGTTGTCCCTCTGGATCGCCGCGAGCGCATATTTGAAATCAGAGAAAATTATGATGCCGCTAGAATTCTGAACTTCAATGGAGTGAAAAATATTCAAAGCTCACTTAATAGCTTCCAGTTCTCAGGCATAATTTGAGGCAATTTCTCCAACAGAAACTTTATGGGATTTATGTCTACCGTTTGCGTATATGAAATGTATTCCAGCGCCTCCTTTATTGAGATCGAAGTCAGAGGAACCATCTGTGTAGGCAGTAGCTAGGAAATAAGTTTGTAAGTTCATTTATGGTGTCGGTACCTTTCTCATTAAGTAATGCAATTGATTCTTTTTTGGTGCAAGGTTGTAAGAAATTTAAGTTTATAACTGAGTGTGGAGAGGGACGGATGGAAAGAAGTGGTTTCTTTAAATATACCAATAGCTTCAAGCTGTAAGACATTTTTCTGATCTCTTGGTCCACTTGTAAGGGTGACGAACCTTTTCAGTCTATTGTTCCCACTGCATGCTCTGAATGTTTTATTAGAGAAATGATAGTCTGCAAAGCTTCGAATTTCGTTTATGAATTTGATGGCGTCTAAATAATTTTGATAGTGGCTTCAGTTTCCCAAGGAGGTTAGGCTACACTCAGTTTCTGCTTTAATGTTTGTGGCCGAAACATCTCTAATGATGAATTTGGAAGCCCTGTATTGAATGCTGTCGATCCTTTCCTTTACAGAAGATGAAGCCGGTGTCCATATGGATGTAGCATATTCTAGAGTGGGCCTAACAAGCGAAATACATGTCTTTGGTCTTGATTCCGAAGATTCACCGCATAATCTTTTTAGAATATTTTGCCTTTTTAAGGCTTTGTTAGAGATTTGTTTAAAGTGTTGTAAAAAAAATCTCAATTCTGTATTTAGTGTTAGGCCTAGGGATATGAAATCTGTTTGATCTCAGAACCATACAAACTTATAATAGGATGAAAAGATTTTCCGTTTTTCCTATTAGTAGAAAAAGTACGTTAATTAGTTTTATCAGTATTTATATTAAGTTCTTTTGACCAAGTTCCAATGCCCTGCATCCCTTTGCTATGGAAGAACCGTTTGCGAAAAAGGAATATTTGAGTGAGTACGCCAGACTGCAATGTCATTGGGAAAGCAAGCCACTTTCGCACTGATTTGAGGGTCAATGGTATTCAAATACAGAAGGAAGAGAAGATGACTTAGCAGAGAGCTCTGAGGGACTCTTACCCAAGTACGGTAAACCATACCCTAAACTGAACTTAAAAATAAAAGAACAAACAGTAATTAGGAAAGACAGACTCATTAGTACTAGAGGAGGAATTGCCTTTTTGGTAGAAACTCTAGATGCAAAGTATACGAAAGTTCTCCCAGTATTGAACTCGCATGCTAACAGCAGCACTACTCTGAAATGGGGATCTGAAATTAAAAATATGTAACCTCAATATCTAGTATATTAAAACTTTGCAGAAGTGACTCCTAATTCACACGGTTATCTTGTGTTTTACAGTGAAACAATTTCTTTTGACACATAACGTAAATTGTCTTTACAAGAACCACTGCTTTGAGAATATTTTTTGCATGCATCTTTTCGATTTTTAGTATCACTTCTAAGTTGTTTCATTCTTAATTTTTGAAATTTTGATTGACTTCGTTGCCATAATTCACAAAATAAATTATAGATCGACAGAACGCATACACAACTATCAGTGTTTCAAGACGCGGCTGACTTTACGCAACGAAAAAAAAAAATGAAAGGCTGTAGCTCGTAAACTCGAACGGGATAGTGGAGTATAATGATATACTTTGTGTACGTGGGTGAAAAGAAACAAACAGAAAAAAAAAAAAAGTAAATAAAAATAAGCCTATTGCTGTGGACTCTCCCAGAAGTTTATCTGTGAATTTTAGTTTCAAATGACTTTCCTTCTATCCTGATTAACAAGTTATTTACAAACTAAAAAAATGGAGATAAATTTTCTAAAACTAAAAAAATGGAATAAAAAAAAATGGAGAGTCATTTATATCTCCTCTAAAGAGAATTAAGTAGTTTAAAGTGGAGTATGTTATGAAATATCATCTGCGAAAAATGTGTTCTTTTCAAAATTTTATTATTATTATTTTTCTTAACATTTGTAGTTTCATCTACTCCCTTCCTTGAAAAATTTAAGCATTTTATATTTTTTTTTATTTGCAGGTATCATGGATTCCAGTCGCTGTGATAAGAATATGATTTAGCGCAAGAAAAATGGGTTTACAGAGGATATTCGCTTCATTTGTAGTTTTCCTGTTAGGTATGTCAATTAGTGTTCAGAAAAAGGTTTATAAATTACATAAAATTAGCTTATAAATATTGTAAATAGCATCAAAAGTTTCGAAGACGACCAATTGAACCATAACATAATTGGTTGATATACTTTGTCAATTATGCTACGAACCGTAGCATCATTTGATAAATACCATAATATAATGGGTTAAAGTTGGCATTAATTGGACCAATTATGCCAACTTTGGTTCTTTTAGAGCTTAACACTTAAAGAACATCACTGTTGTTGATGTTCAGTAATGTTATTTACTTATGTTCATAGGAAGATTGGTCTTTTGCAAGGACAGTCGTCTTAGGGAGGGATCACCATGAAGTTTCTTACACAGTATTTTTATTAAAGGAAGACACTTGATAATGATGTGCTTCAAAATTTGTCCTTGCAATTTGATCTAAAAATTTTTAATCCAAAAATTTGATCTAATAAGATAATCTAGTAAATTTAATCTTTGATCTAGTAATTTGATCTAAAAATTTAATTTTTTTTATATTGGTATGTTTTATTGTAATTTGAGGATAATAGTCTAAATATAATTTGGGGATAATAGTCTAATATAATTAAAAGAATAGCCTGAATGCAATTATTAAGCGCGAAAGGTATATAAGAGGTTCCATTTGCTAGATCTAGAAAAGACTTATGTTCAGATATCTAGTATAATTTTAGGCTGTACCATTAACTAAGGGAAAAAAAGAAAGATAAATATTGTATCATTTGCTTTTTATATTTCATTGTTTATCATTTTTTCATAATGTAGAAAGTTTTGTATTTTAAAAGCTGTTCATATTTCTCGATGAGTGAGTGCATCTTTTAGGACTACCAATTTAATTTTCGGTTTTCTTCAGAAAAAAAGTGATTATTGATTCTTTACTTCGTTATGAATAACTTTGCTTATTTATCTATTTATTTTTATTTATTTATTTTTATTTTTATTTATTTATTTATTTTTTGCTTATTACGTGCTCCGCCCTTAGGGACCACACGGAAAGGGAGGGATACCTCGTGGAGGTCTTTTTAAGGGAAACTGTCTCGTATCCACGTTACACATAGGGAAAACCACGAAAGCGCCCATGCAGCCAACCCGTTCGCCGGGACTCGAACTCCGGACCGAACTACCAGTGTTCAGCGGCTTTTAACGCTCGGCCGCTGGTGGGCAACTTTGCTTATTGTGCCCTTATATATCTTAATTTCAATATTTTTACATCTTTTTTACTGAAATTAATAAGAATGTTTTTCTTCGGAAATGGGAAAAACCCAGCCTCCTATTCAAAATTTATTTACATGAGTTCTTCTGAACTCCTAAAAAATTTGATTGCCTCAAGTAATAATTTATCCCTTAAAGTAAACACTGTTTCCAGTTATTATTTATGCTTCGTTAATTTAAATACTAGCTCAATCAAAAACGTTTAGAAATTTCTTAAATTTAGTGTAAATTAAAGGCTCATTGAGGGCATATGCTATTTATACATTCATTACCAACAGCGTAAGTTAAATACAAGTTTTATCAAATATCATAATATGCATTTTACCATGCTTTTTAGTAATGTTTTTAAACAATTTATCATATAATAGCTCTCTTCCTTATTTATAATAGGTGTTTCAAGAATAAATGTCATCGATGCTTCCAACATAAATGGATCCGTTGCTGTAAGTAAATTCAAATGACTGCCTTTCTATACTTACTAATTTAATTAATAAAATATATTAATTAAATATATATATATATATATAATTATACATATATATCTATAGAGAGAGAGAGACAAAGAGAGCTTTAAACCACTAGGTGGATGAAAGACACTTTTAATTTGAAAGGTTAGTTCTCGATCTTGTGTCACTCGGACCGATAACATCTATGACAGCTTTCAATTTGCTAGGTAGCGATGAATGTTAAACTAAAACTTTAAGTCTGGTAGAATGGCAACACGTAAAACTGGTAATTTACCAAGCTGTGTGGTCGATAAATGGTAGCGTAACGTCATGTACTGTAACTTAAGATACGCAAAAAATTTAAAAACTAATCAGTTGGCGATTCTGAGAAAATAGTCAGTATTTTATCACACGTAGTATTCATGATCCATAACAAAATTAAACTAACTTTCCTATTGAATTTTTAATTCATAAGCAAGGAGACCGCCACTTGAATTAGACGGAAGCCCAGTACGAATCTTTTTTCTTAGTAAGTAAAGAAGAGGGGAAAATAACACAAATAGCAATGCTTTCTCTAAATATTTCAGCATTCCTATGCCATTCGGGTGTAAGAAATACTACTTTCAGAATCCTTTTAAGAACTCTTACCGCTCACTGCTCTTTCTGGAAAGCTTCATTGTATAAAGGAACGCATATGCGCTACCTTCACCACCACCATCTAAATCCTCCAGCGCGTGAATTAATTTAAGAAAGAAACTGGGGAAATATTCTGGATGGAATAAACAATCGCTTTTGCTTCTGCTAACAATACTGTTGCTCCACTTGCGCAACGAAAACTGCTGTCTCGTTCCATTGTTTCGCAGGCACGCTAAGATCTCAGCGTATACAAGTCATGCTGTTGTTAGTAAGAAGCGTTCAACTTCACGCACCGTCGAACAATATTAAAGATTTCGTTTTCGGAATTCTTCAGTCGCGAACGGACACGCTCGTAGTCGTTAGTTGTCTGCGTTGCACGGTCGACGTTTTTGTAACAACTCGTAGAGTACACATGTCAGTTTCATTTTTAGAATATATCACGTTCGCCACGCGCGAAGACGTATCTCAGAATAACGAAACAACCACCGATATTTGTTTATTTACTACTTTGCATAAAACTGCATTTATTTGAAATTTAATATGCTACCAAAACAGATTCAACTTGTAGAGAGCAACTCGAAACATAAACTGGATTGAAATTTCTTCCCTTACTTTTAACGAGAAATATTTTTATGATCTTGACGTTTCCAACGCTTCAGTCGTTGCTGTGACATTCTCTTTATACGGTAAATCGACAAAGTTATTTATTGAGTTGCGAAATATATAATGTAATAGCTGAATTTAATTTTGGCCTTTTTCATGCGGATGACCGTAGAGTCAAAATTTCTTTTATAGTGATGATGAAACGTTTACAGATGACTAAGCCTGTTTATCTGTTTTTACTTCCACGCGCAAAGTAAAGGAGGTACTGTAATTGCGAAAACTTTCGGGTTTCGGATTTCAAAGGAAATATCCATTTTGACCTTTCCCGAATACATTTGGACTATTTTTTGCATGATTTCTGAACGTGCAGAATAAAGGACTCTTTAAAGTTGGTTTTGTTTATTTGGTTATGGCAAAGCCCTCGAGGGCTATCTGCCTAAGGTGACGGATGATTTTGTGGAGAACTTTCTAAGGTAAACTGGCTCGTATATACATTATACATGGGGGAAAACACGCCCATACAGAAAGCACGTTTGCGTGCTTCGAACCTCGCACCGAACTACCAGTGTTCAGCGATTTTACAGCTCGGCCGTTGGTGGACAACTCTTTAAGGAATACAGAATAAAGGACCCTTTATTTCAAAACGCATTGTAAAAATGAGCTAAAAATGGCTTTTTTTTCCTGACATCTGTATGTACGTATGTATCTCGCATCCGTCAAAAATGATTAATCGTAGAAAGTTGAAATTTTGCATATGGAACTACTGTAACAACTAGTTGTGCATCTCTCTTTTAATCAGCTTAAAATTGTTACCCAACTTTTATTTTCACAATCATTGGTTGAACAAATGACGAAACCTAACTTTTAATGCGGTCTCTCGATTCCTGCACTTATATTCAGGAAAGTGTTATACTAGTTAAGAAAAAATAAAAATACAAGAAGTTTGACTTCCGTGCAATAAAAATTGACCGGAATACTTAATTTCAAAATTTGCAATTTTTGATGTGATTTTCAACTTGCCTTGAGGAATCTGTTAATTAAGTTAGAATAACTCGAGAAACTAAATTTAAATGAAGTGCAGCAAAAAATGTGTATAATTTAATAAGCTTACAAGAAAGTCATGGGATGTCTACATCCGATTTTTTCAAAACGTGAAAGAGTGCTTGATAAGTGAATCGTTGTTTTTGAATGAGTGTTACTTCAATTTTTAACTGGTTGTATTGAAATTAAAACATTACATCCTCAATAACTTGAGATTTTTGTTTGACATATTTTTTCTCTGTGTAGAGGAAATGTGACATCCAAATGACATGTGAAAGCGAAAACTCCTAGAGAGAGATTCGATATGAGGTTCGGGGCAACTGTGCTATACGTTCAAGAATGAACATAGAATCCATGCGACAAAATGGATGCCAAAATGAGTAAAATTGCTAGCGGAATGTCACTGATTCCGATTTAGTTCCCTTCCATTTCTGCACACACATATATCACAGATCCCAAAACCTAGTACTTGATTGTTATGTTGACTGTCTCTTGTAGTTCAAATTAAACTAAAAGCCATATTTTAAGCATGGAGATTTAATAAGAATAAGATAATTTAGTTCTAATAAAATCATTTGAAAAAGGAAAATAACACATGCATCCGAAAACGATTTAAAAGGCACCCTGTATTCCAAATAACTAGAGACATTTAATTTATTTAATTGAAAACAGGAAGTTAACAATTGATAGTAATTTAAGTGAGTGGAAAATTGAGAAAATGCAGGTTGAAAGAATTCCACAGAAGAAAGACCACATGGAGGAAGCTTCTTAAAATACAAAGTATGTAACTAAAATAATTAACGTAGCTTCATAAAAATACCCTTAAGTTCTACAAACAGAAAGCAGCTTCATTAAAAAAGCTAACAAAATAATTTTATTGCATTTCTTAAATTCTTGAATAACAAGGCCTACCATAACGTTGTCAATTATTGTACTTATCATCAGTTTTAGGGAGAATCACTAGCAAGATGTTATAGTGTTCGAAAATTAATGCAGGAAGTTAAAAAGTATATCCTTACATATCACTTTAAAACTCTTAACACATCAAGATGATTCAGACTGCTGAAATACTCTCTGAAATTTTGATATCTTAGCAGATCCAATGTATTTTCCTTCTGTCGCCCTGTCCAGTATATTCTCCTTCTATCCAAGACTGACTTCGGAATTTGAATTAGTATTATATAAAGTCTCCTGAAAGGATACACAGGGATCGGACCAGTACGGGGGATACACAGGGATCGGACCAATTACGTGCGTATTGATTCGCAATGGATTGAATGTACACAGAACCGATGACAGTTTGATGAAATTTATTTTTCCAAAAGCACTTTACAATTTTGAAATTTTGCACACAAAAATTTTCGCACAGTTCTTCTACATATGACAAAGCACAATCAAGAGTTACCATTTCAAACTACTAAGAATGTTGAACACAAGACAATGCAAAGCGCATCTAAAAGCGAAGCTCGCACGGTGATTTCTTTAGTATACTGAACTCTCAATACTCTGAGCTACACTGCTCTCTCCTAACTTATGTGGTTTCGCCCCGTTCGCCTAGAACTTAGTTCCTTCGACATCTCGAAACTGTTGGAAGGCATACATAGTTACAGTTAAGTAGGGCCGGATACAGTTACACAGGAATCGGACCAAAACGTGGCCAAATAGCTGACAAGCTTGGCGACTTTTGGCTATGTCTCGCAAATCTGGTGACAAAAATTAGTCGCCAAATGACCATAGTTGGTTTGGCGAGATAGCCATTTACCTCAATGCTAAATGGACTTACCCCTCCACACTCATTTTTCCAACGATGTTTCGCGATATGAGTCTTTCCGTATTACACTATACAAAACACATTGCAATTTGCATAAAATTTAATTAAAATTATTTACACGTATATAAAATTCGTAACAGTTTCTTACAGTCTCGGTCACACAATCTCAATTCATTACCTCGTAAATATTCGAAAAGTCAATATGGTTTTCGGTGCCGACAAATTCCATTTTGTATTCTCATTCCGCGGTTCGATTCCCGGCGAAGGCGTTGCAAATTTTTCATCTTTCCTGCTTCTAAATTACCTAATGACTCTACAGTATCCCCCGAAATAAAAGGGTTGTGGATGATGATTCTCCACACCCAGGATTTGGCGATTGGGTCCCTAAAAACGCCAGGCGCCTTTAAAAGGAGGTATATAAGGTATTTCTCCCGCCTTCTTGGCATGCCTTTGTGGTGTGGTGGTCTGCACGCTGGGCTCGTATTCCAGAGGTCCGTGGTTTCCCGGCGAAGGTGTTGCTCATTTTTCATCTTTTCTACTTCCAAAATTCCTAATTTCTTTACAACGCACGTGTGTAGCCAATGTATCTCTCATCGGCCCCTATATGGCAATGTAATAATTCTTTTAAATCCTCAATAAACTCCCGGTAGATAGGGGAGGGCGCGGGTCATATGCCTGTTTACCTCTGTTAAACACCAGGCGTCCCCGTCCTCCGTCACCTATCTTCAAGTTTTGCATATACTAGAGCTTTTCTTAGGATTTTCGTATCATCATTTTGTGTTCCGATTTATGACCAATCAGTGTCTGCTTTTTCGCTGACACAAAGAGAAGAATGAATGATCAGATTTATTGATATACATATTGCGATTTTTAATACATGTTCTTCGATGTTAACGCTCCACCTCTATTATATTAATACATCTGTATTAATTTATTAACATATTTG